GCATCGGCGAAGCCGCTTGGGCGCAGGCGTGGCCGTCACGTTTTCCATCTCGATGGCTTTGCGCTTGGATTGCATCTTGAGCTGCGCCTTGCGCTTGATGCGCGCGCGGAGGTTTTGCATCGGGACGATTGGTTCCTTATCAACGCGAGGCGACGGCGGCTAGCACCGATGAGCGGCCAGGTCAGCGAAACGACGCACATCAGAAGACTCATACCGGTGTCTCGTCGACAGCCCGCAACTTGACGTAGCGCGCCTTGAGGTCCTGGACCACCTTTGCGTGGTAGAACGCGCGGACTTTGGTGACGTGGTGCGGGGTTCGTGTCGTGGGGCGGCGCAAGCGAGTCGGTGACGGCTTCAACGTTGGTACTTGCCGAGATGGAACCACCTGCAGACGCGTTTCATCAGCCCAGCGGGTGTACGAACAAGAAGCTGACCGTGACTTTTGGTACGGCCGTGCCGAACGGATTGGTCATGCAGCCAAGTCGCGGGGCGGTCCAGGTATTGCCGCTGATCAAGGTAGGGTTGACACGCGTCTGAAAGCCCGGCAACTCGATTCGCTCAGACGCGGGGCGTGGACAAATCATGGGCTGTACCGAGGACGCCTGTCGTTGAAGAAGCCAAAGAAGTATGAAGACATGTGCACGAAGACGACGGAGGTTGGGAAGACGACACCTTCGCATGGGGCGCCCACGAACGGAGCGACGGCAGCTTTACGGTAGTACCAGCGTGGGCCCGCGACAAGTTGTCGTATTCCAGCTGTCGACCTCGCTTCTTCTCCAGCGCTTGCTTGGGGAGCATGGACGTTTGTATCACATTGCGCTAAGACCAAGTCGAAAAATGAGATATCCCGCCCCAGTCCATGGTATCGTACGCGTCCGAGCGGGATGAACTCAATTGGCACATGGCGCGAGGCCGGCGCTCGGTCGGCGCCAAGCTGGTTGACCTCATTGGTATTGCTACCTCGGTTCTCCTTGTCGTCGGCGCTGCCGCCCATGCTCTTGTAGCGCATCGTCTTAGCCTTGGTCGCGATGAACATGGTCCCGAGCGCAGGTCGGGCGTCCGTCGCGCGAATGTCCTGGGTCGTCGTCGTCGGGGTCGCCATGCCGGAGGTCCGCGGCGCGTCCATGACCGCGAGGGTTCGGTCCATCGTCCATGGAGCGCGTCGGCCGCCGGGCAGCACGTAGTGGTCGGCGCTTCGTGGGCACAGGCGCATGCTTGTCGTCTCTCTTCTGCGGCTGAACCAAAACTGGCGCGCGCCAACCGGGTGCCGAGAAGAAGCTCTGAAACCGTTTCCTACCTAGGGTTCGGCATCACGGTGGGTCTTTGCGGCATATGCCAAAGATACCGTTGCCATATGCCACCTCCAGTCGAAACATTAGTCGATACAAACGACTAAATGCAGCATGCGCCTGGCACGATGTCACGCCCGACGCAGCGGTATTGACGAAGAAAGGCCGACGCGGTGCCACTAAATGTCATCGAGTTTCTGTCGGAATGCACCGCCCGACGAAGATATTGGTCGTGAAAAATATGGAGTTCTATTTACTCATCGTAATGTTTATTTGACGTGTGAATGCAAGTGTGCTCCGAGTTGGAATTCAGAGGCCCGTTGCGGCGTCGCCAATCCAAGCGACGACGTCGTCGCGGGAGTGACCGCCGTTGGCGCGAAGACGGCTGATGCCAAGTCGCTGGTTGTGGGCGAAACGTCGCGTGTACACCATAGCTGTCAAACTCTTCGTCCGAGTCGTACTCGTTGCGCTTGCGCAAAACAGAGTTGGAGCCAGCCAGGTCCGTGGCCATGAGATGATACTTGCTCTCCGCACTCGAGACGTCGATGCCGGTTTTTCAAGTAGCAGCGCCAAGCGTCCACGTATTCGGCTCGGAGCTACTGAACGCGTTGTGAATTTTGGAGACGCCAAGCAGCGGCTGCCACGTGTCAAACTTGAACAACTGGATGTCAATGATGCCTCGGTCCGAAAAGTGCGCTTGGGGTTGCTGATCGCAGCATGTTTCTTCTGGTGCGTGATGATGTCAACACCTTCAATCTTGGCTTGGCGGGCCATCTTGCAGAGCTAGTGCTCGTAGTTGCTCGAGGCTTCCTTGTACGACTCGCTCTGGCAAATCTCACGAGCGAGACAAACCCGTGACTGAAGTCGCTCTCCTCGGTGGCTGCAAGGCTGATACCTGAGCCAACAAAGACGCCAATGGCGCCGGCCGTAGCTCCGTGTGCGGCTCCAAGCGACAAGCTCGTAAAAAGTGTGCGACAGAAGGCACAGGCACTGCGTCGATGCCAGTCACAGCCAGTGCTCCGGTCGCAGCGATAGCCAGGACTGGCTTGGCCATCTCCTATAACAGTTCGAAGCCGCCATATTCGTCGCGCATGATGTTGACTGCAAGCAGCATCGCTGTGAGCCGCACGAGCTCAGAAAAGCTAATGTTGCTGTCGCTTAGCGCGTGCCACGACATCTTGGTCGAAGCGGCAGCATCGTCTTTGACAAGTCGGCCGAGGCCAAGTGCTGTGGTGCGATCATCATCATGTGTTGGTGCAGCTTTTGCGACGCTTCCGTGTTGCTCGTCGGTGTCGCTGTAAAGCTCTGCGTGCTGTAGTCCTTGACGTCCGGCCGTTTGGAAAGCTTGTCGAATGACGCATCGGTCGCGTCTTCGGTGATGGACGTGCACACTGTATAGAACTTGGGGCCCGTGGTGCGAGAAGCAAGGCTCGATGCCATGCCGAACGCGACCGACGCGACCTTGCTGGTGGACGCGCCGTTGGAGCTCTCGAGCTGATTGTGTGGGATGCCGCCACCGTGGCCGTGGTCGCACAAGATTACCTTGTCCATCTCGGGCACGGCCGTTGCCTGGCCGACGATACCGAGGCTGGAAGCCTGCGCTTCGTACTCCATTGCCGTGGCGTGGCTCGGAATCACGATGTAGACGGCGCTGCCGATGCTGGCGACGAGGACGCAGACCTTGTTGTTGCCGTACTCGATGAACAGCAGGCGGCAATCCTTGACGAGCTTTTTGTATGCGGTCGTCATGGCTGCCTTGAACTCGTTGTATGTTTTGTCGTTTGTAGCCGTCGTGTTGGCGGCGGCAATGAGGCGTACTGTGTTGTCACTGTATCATGAATGAGCTAACGTTTTAACGTTAGGGTCAACAAAATAACCCTTGCCCTCTGTGCAAGTGCGCTTGGATTCGGCATGGTTCGGTTTTGTAGTGGCATATGCCAAATGCACCATATTAGAGTGATTTTGCAAGGGTGGAATTCAGGATTGTTCGGCGCGCGACATTCCAGAAAACTCAATGATGAAAAGTGAGCGGTGTTTTTGCAAGCGTGCAGAAGTTTTTCGCTTTGGACCGGTCATGGACGACGCTCTGCTCGCACTCCCTCTCGTCGCGATTCTCGCCCAACACCCCGTCGTGGCCTCTCGGTCGTTCTCTAAGGCCGTCCTAAGGTCGTCAGAGCGCCAGCGGCGCCTGATGACTGTGACGAGGTCACCGTGGATCACACACATGGGCTCGGCGAACTCTTCCCAGCGCTTTGCGGTCTGGCCATAAGGACAGTCGTGTGGCACGGACAGTTGTGTGGCATGTGGGCTCACAAGCATGACGTCCGAGGCCACGGTGAAGCGAAATGCCTTCTTCGTCGTCTGTGGGGTCCTTGCTCATACTCAGTGCAAGTCAAAAATAAGTGGCTTTCCTGAAAACCAGTTCAGGATTGAGGGGGTCCCATCGTACTTTTCTTCGGTGGAATTCATCCGACGCGCGCATGCGACATGTCACGGGCGTGCCCCATTTCACGCTTGCAAAATCGGTCTATTGATGCCACATTTAGCAAGCCGGATGGCAAAGCTGACCATCTTGACGGTGAACGACGTGTACGACGTCGCGCCTGACGCGCATGGCATGGGCGGTACGTCGACGACGGCGGCACCGATGGCGCTCACCAGGTGGCTCAGGCATGGCCGAGCTGGCGACCTTGCTGCAACGTGAGCGAGCGGCGACACCAGCGTCGTCGACGCTGCTAACAACGATCAACGGCGACTTTCTCTCGGCGTCGCGAGCCGGATCCTACTACAAAGGGTACTGCTACTACGCACGAACGATCTTCATTACGATGCGTCATGCATGGCGACCTACTAGCGCGCACATGATCGACCTTCTCAACCACATGGACATCGACTTTGCCGTCTTTGGTACGCCTGCGACGACCGACGTGTTGTTTGACGACGGCGTAGGCAACCACGAGTTTGACTTTGGTGCCGACGTCTTGGCGCAGCGCGTCCAAGAGTCCAAGTTTCGCTGGTTTGGCTCCAACGTCAAGGAGAGAGCGACCGGCGGCCTCTTTGCCAACGCGACCGACACGCTCCTTCTTCCGATCGGTCCAGACGGTACATCAACACTCGCAAATGAGCGTACTGGCGAGCGCAGGACGGTCTAGGCGCACTCAAGCTGGGCATCTTCGGCATCTGCACGCCCGAGACGCCGCAGCT